TAAAAATAGCCAGTTAGCTCACACACAGCAGAGGTTACAGCACTGTATCTAGGATTAAAACCTGATCTCTGCATGTGAGGTCTGCTCTTTAGTTTCAGAGTTATCATCTGGTCTTATTTGACTTCTAAACATTAAGCCATCTAGTGCTAAACTAGCACCTGTATGTGTCGTTAGCTAACCTATTCAGTTGTCTCTGTCCAGAAGCGTCCTCACTAACACTTGACTTTTCTAGGCTTGTTGCATTGTCACATAAAGCAACCTCTGTTGTCTTCGCTGCAATGAAAGGATTGATTGCTGTCTTTCAATAAAGGAGGAATGCAATGCTTCACATGCAATATGAGCTGTCTATAGTCTCAGTAAGTTACACACTGCTTCTGTTCTGCAGTTTTTCCTCCAGGGGATGAGGAAGAGAAAAAGGAGCCAGTTGACATGGACAGTGAGAAGGAAGAAGACAACTGGAGTGAAGAACTCAGGTTGGTCCTCATCGGAAAGACCGGATCTGGCAAGAGTGCGTCTGGAAACACCATCTTGGGCCGAAAGCAGTTCCTGTCGCAGATCAGTGCCAGCTCTGTCACCCAGATTTGCCAGCTTGGGAGCGCTGAACTCACCGAGGAAGAGGATGCTGAGGAGGACGGCCAGACTGTCTCACGGAAGAGGATGAGGAGAGTTGTGGTGGTTGACATGCCAGGTTTTGGGGACACTCACCTCAGTGTGGAGCAGATTCATGCAGAGATAGCCAAATGTGTGTCACTGTCTGCCCCTGGGCCACATGCTTTCCTCCTGGTGGTGCCAGTAGGTCGATACACAGACAATGAGAACCAGGCTGTCTGCGAGTTGGCTAAGATATTTGGGGAGGATGCAGTCCGTCACCACACTGTGGTTCTTTTTACCAGGGGAGATGACCTGGAGGGCGTAGCGATTGAAGAGTACCTGAGGGAGACTGCACCTGCTGGGCTTAAGGCTCTGATTGACAGGTGTGGGGCCAGGTACCATGTACTCAACAACAAAGACCCCAGAAACTCGGCGCAGGTTAACCAACTCTTAATGAAAGTGGACAGGATGGTGAAGCAGACTAACGAAGGGTTTTATACTAACACAATGTTTGCAGAAGCAGAGGCTGTCATCAGGGAGGAGCAGGAAAGGATGTTGAGGGAGCGAGGGCAAGCAGAGGGGGAGGAACAAGGGGGTAACAATGGGAGCTTGGAAGAACGGGCTAAACTTGCCAAACGAAGGAAGTGTGACTTGGAGTCTCACGGAGCAGAGGGCACCGATAGAGGATCACAAGGGGTCAGAAAGAGGGAGTTGGAGGGAGGAAATGAAGAAGATTTTAGGGTGGAGAGATGGAGAGAGGAGAGCAGCGGCTTCAGCCTGCTGAGGGACCGGTCCAGAGGCAGGCGCAGAGGCAGGACCGTGACCCAGCGACATGCTCTCAGGTCGTCCTTGATGAGGAGGGAGGCTGCGCTCTCTGCTAAGGTCCTGCAGAGAGTTAAGATCCTGGTGGCTGCTGGAGCCACAGGCATGGCAGTGGGAGCAGTGTTTGGGGCAGCGGCCCCTTTAGCAGCTGCAGCCGGGGCATCTCTCATGGGGAACTCGGTTGGTTTTGCTGCAAGTCAGTTCGCTGGGATGTCTGTAGCGGGAGGCACTAGTGTTGGGAAAGCTGTGGGGGCAATAGTGGCAGCAGCCTCAGGGAAAACTGCGGTGGCTCTGGGGGCAGCAACAGGTGGAGTTCTGGGTGGTTCTGTTGGAGCCATTGCTGGTACTGAGGCTGCCAGTCCTAGGGAGGGCGCTCTGGATGCCCTTGGGCAGGTTAGTATCATAGGGGCCTCTGCTGTGGGGTTGGCAGCAGGTGTGGGAGGCACCATGGGAGCTGGGGCTGCTTTTGGCGCAGCTCTGGAGGGAGCAGCTTTCAGCACAGCAGCTCTCAGTGGAGCTGAAACTGCATCAGTAGGGGCAGCTGGTGTAGCCAGCGTGCCTGTGGCTCAGAGTAGTTTTGCTTCAGCAGCAGGGCAGCATGCAGTGGCCACTGTAGGAGGTGTAGGGACTCCTCAGTGTGCTGCAGCAGGAGCAGCCTTAGCTCAGGAGATAGCTGTGAATGTCCCAGTGGCTGCTGGGTCTCCTGGTGCCGTGTGTGGGTTAACGGGGCCCAGTGTGACGTCAGTGGCCAGCAGGGTGTCAGACCACTGGGGCACTGTGGCGGCAACAACACGGATCCTGAATGCAGTGGCTGAAATAGGCAAAGCTGCAGCAGGCATTGCCCTGGCTGGTGGTCTGGTAGTGAAGGTGGTAAAAGAGAAAGTCAGATGTGGCACAAGAACAACTGAAGCCAGTTACACAGAGAAGAAGTCTTATGAGATCTACTGGAACAAATAAACACAATGAAACAATTTGCATATATTTTCCTTGATACATTAGTAGACTCCACTGTAGCTTCCCTCAGTGAAAGATATTGCTATCAGCAAGGACATGCAAACCATGTCGGAGATGCACAGCTAGCAGTGACAGAAATGTAATATAAAACAATATCATATGAACAAGTAATCACACATTATAAGAGATAAAAGAAAGCAGAAGCTGTATTTGCAAGTATTGATAGGAACTGTTTGAGGCTGGTGAAGGAGTTCAGTGACACAATGCTGTGTGGGATGACTAATGAAGGATATCAGGTGCACAGTCCTGTGATACCTTTACTTTATTTCCCCTTTTTTTCAAACACATTTTTATCTAAATCAGTTTAGGAGGCGATTGATTCACCTTGCTGTTGGTTGGTTTGGAACCAGACCTGATGTCTTCATACACATTTATTTTTATAAAATAAAGAGAAATTAAAAAGAGACATTTACTCCTGGAAACTAAACTGCTGAAAATGTGGGTCGTCACAGTTCCACTTTGTGAACTCGATGAATGAATGACATGAATTTCATAAAAGTATTTAATGTGACTTACTTTTGCCCTCTTTAACGAATCACAGAATTATAAAGAGACCATAAGAAATTCTCTTAAGCACCATATTAAAGTGTTTGCTGAGTGAGATCAATGTGTGTGTATAATTATTTTTGAGTGTGGAAAATGAACAAAAGGACTGAAGTAATAAAAAGCACTTAAACGTTGTGGTTTTTTGTTTGCTGTTATGTATTGTACGCTGGTTTTCAACAGGTAATACGTGTGTTTACTTTGTTGCAGTTAAATAAAACAACCATTCTTCCCTGACTGAATATATTTTGTTCTCATTTCTTGTCTTCTGTTGTTGAGTTGTTAGTTATCTTTTCTGCCTGTACCTCAACTGTAGCACTTTATTAGAAAATCACCACAGGCACATTTCTGGAAATACGCTTCTACGTGCTTGAGTGCACATAATGCATCAATATTTCAACTGTACTTGGTTTTATCATCTGTATGTGTTACTATAAGTATATTAAACAGGAATATACTTTTAGATCAAGTAAAACGTGACTTTTCATTGAGTATTTTAAACTGCACTGTTGCTACTTTTTCATAGAAGACCTGATGATCAGACTTTATTTTATTTAAATAGCACTTTCCATACTTCACACAATAAAACACCCCCAACCACACACAAAGTAATAAATGACTCTGTAATCAATAAAGCACTCAATAACAGCGCTCAGTAAAACCCAAACTGAGGAAACGCTATCTCATCAATTTGCAGTGAGGAAACACCGGCGGCTGGGTTAGAAGGAAGATGAACACTCAAACCAAAGTGAAAGAATATTAGCAAGTCATTCAAACTAGGCCAAATTGTAAATGAGACAAAGCTAAAACACAGTAATGAAAAACAGAATTAAAATGTATAAATCAATAGACAAATTAAACAAAGTAATAACAGATTAAAATGTATAAACCAATAAGTAATAAAATAGATTAAAATGTATAAACAAGTAATAAAACAGATTAAAATGTATAAATATACGGACAAAGTAACAAAAAGAAGTGCTAAAACAGATGAAAAATGCATGAATAGACCAATAAAACTTTTAGCTTATACTTTCTAGTGTACTATTTGTGTACATGAAAGGATTGAAAATAATGAACTATTTTTAATGAACACCAAACATTTGATCTGCAAGTAGGGAAATATACTTATCACATTATCGGTGCTATCGCATAAGGGAAAATGCATATGATTTTATCTGCACTTTTTTATCAGACTCTATTTACTGATGTGTTTGTTTACATCATTTTTTCCTGAATGAGGTCCTCTCATGAGATCACGTCTATTCATGAAGGTAGGGGGCGCGGTTTATTCAAATAACACCGAAGCTTCTGATGGTTGACGTACTATCAGACCACGGTAAATACGGCCCTGTCATTGGACGGCGATGACTGGTCTCATGACAACAACAGCTCGGTTTGGACCAATCAGAGCCCACTTTGGGCCGGAGACTCTGTTTGTGAATGACGTAATGAGCGTAAAACAAGATGGCGTCGTGTTAAGCATAAACCGATGTGAATGACTTTATCGACGTAGAAGTCTGCCTCTCCTGAGGCTCCGGTCTTGGTTTACGGTCCTTCCGTAAGATAAGTATCTCCACGATAAGACAACGTGCCTTGTAGGCGTCGCTGAACGGAGCTTGCCGCCTTTCTCCCGCGATCCTCCGGTGACAGCCGGGGAGGCGAGGTGCTGACAGACAGGATGGACAGCGGAGAGTACATCTCCACGATGGAGAACATGGACACGACTTTAGCGGAATTAGGGGACGAATTCACACTGGGAGACATCGACGGTGAGTGACTGTATGAGTGCTAACGGTGTTGAGTTAGTGTCGGCCTGTTTCCGCTCAGTGTGACAGCTCCGGGAGATGCTCATCCTGCTGAGCGGAAGCAGCTGACTGAAGCTGTGGCTTATGTGAAGGCTGCACAACACACAAAGTTTAGTCTTTAAAGTGTTACGTACAGCTGGGCTGTAACGGGAAGTCAGGGTTTCTTGGGCCTACAGTTCCTAATGTGTTATATGTAAACGTTATAGGAGAGGCTTTCGTACTAATGTTGTCTGTTATTTACTTAAGTCGGTTTGAATTATTCTCCACAAAATGTGCACATTGCAAATATGCACAGCCCCTTTAGCAAATTATGACTTCTGGGAGTCTGTCGTGTTACATTGCCCTCTCAGTCCGTCCATAATTTGCACACTGGGATGACATTTTAGGCTTTAGATTTTACTGTGCTCTCTGTTGTTATTCCCGTAAAGTGTCTGGTTTCAATGGAAAAGTAACTTGAAGTTTGAGGCAGAGTGTTATCTCCCATGAAGCAGAGGTGGGTAACAGTGAGAGGTGTCATTTATCAGAAGGCTGTGTGTGGGCAGTGAAGGGAGACGCAAGAGTGTAACTTGCTCATCAACCTTGAATGTGTTATTACTGTAAGCCAAGGGCCATAAATAAACCATTTAGAAACAACGATCTGGTCTGAAGACTTCCATGTCAAGATTGAAGTATTTTGTAGAACTGAATGAGGAAAACCTGTCCTCTTGAGTGTGTGGGACAACATCTGTAAAGACCAGATTCGGCACTCTGCAGGCAGGCACTCAGTGAACAAACAGCATCTCTCATCCAGTCTCTCGCTTATCAAAACAAGTTTCACCCTTTGGCACACAGTGAAAGGACAGGGCTTTCGGTGTAACGCCGGGCAGCGCAGAGTCACCAGATTTCCATTAGGGTGGAATTTTACTGAATGCTAAGTCACCAGACCGGACTGATGGAGCGGCGTGTGGTGTTCGTGTGGTGTCAGACAGTGTGGGATGAGCTGGGCTTGAGGGTAGAACTCTGTCTTTTTATCTACTGGCCCGTGGTGGGCAGTGGGTTTGTAATATTCACCGACATACAAAAGTACCGCACTGAACAAGATGATGTAACAAACATTCACGGCCAACATTAACAGTACTGCACCCGGCGGCCCTGTGAAACAATTCTGAAACTCCACCTGCCTTTGGTGTCTGCTGTTAATTCTCTTTTCAAAGGGGGCCCTTGGACAGAATGAGCAGACGGTACACCCCCCCAGCCACAGTTATGTAATCCCACTTAATCATTGTGTCAAAAGAGAGGAATGTACAGATTGTGTGTGAAAGAGAGAGAGAGAGAAATGACAACCGGGTTCACTGATGAATTCACAGGCGAGCTGCGACGGCCCACGCTTGAGTTTTGCTTCTGTTTGGCCTTCAGCTAATGGATTAATACACTGCTGCTGTCAGCTCATCACCCAACTGCAGGAAAATGTACCCTTGTTATAGAAAATCATAGCTTTGGTCGTATGTATGTAAAATGTGAAACTGGACGGCGATAGGTCTGTCCTCTCTTTCTGTGCAGCAGCCGGTTTACTGTAGACCTGAAGACATATTCAACCTTTGTTCTCCAGACGAGCTGTGAGCACTTGACCCTTCATATATCTAGAACATTCTCCCAATTATTCTCTTAGCAACTGCGAATCTGGTTATATAAGCTGTTTTCTTTGCACCGAGCAGCCTAGGAAACTGTCCCCCTTTGATGGATTTAGCCTTTGTGTCAGCTTGTCTGAAGCTCTGGGGGCTCAGAGCTGCTTTGTCCTGTCTGTCATGAACAGTCTGCCCCCCACGGAGGTGTAGAAGAGCCGGGTCTAGTGTGTGTGCTCACATTATGCGAACATGTATACGTGACATGTGAAAGACAGGCTGGTTGAAGCTCCTGAGCAAAAAAGGCCAGTGAATGTTCATACAGCGTTGTGTATCTGGAGCCTTTGTTGTTCTGGTTTTGCTTTTAGGAATATTGGTTATGTTCAGAATTTAGGAAGTACGGGCATGGTTTATGTCCCTCTTGTAACTGTTGGTGTTTTGTGACCCTCGATAAAATGGCGTTTTATAGCCATGAAGTTGTGTGACAACGACAAAAAAAGACAGCTATATATACAGATAGCAACACCTTTATTGCTTTATACACCATACTGAAATACAACAAGTGACAACAGACAGTCAGAGGTGACAGGGAGCTGACTGCTCGCAAAGATATGAGAAGAGAACCTTTGGTGTTGTAATGTTTTATTTTCCTACTGTCTCCACTTTTATAAATCTGTTCTGGTATCAGGTCTTTTGTGTGACACCAACATACAGTTTGTGCCACAGCTCTAAACTAATGCTTAAACAGAGCAAACGCCAACTAACTAAACTAGGAAGTGTTTGCTTCATTATAGTACGAAATGTCAAAAACATTTAGTTCATTACAGTTCTTGTCAAGATTTCGCAAAGACAAAACAAATGTTAGTAATTAGTAATGTTTTTTTAATAGAGTGGCACTCCCTGCCTCTAAGGAGTGAAATGACACATCCAGTTAGTCATTATGGACTTAATGTCTACATGTAAAGCAGCTGTAACGTCATCAGAATGAAACAGGGCTGTGTAGGTCTCTTGGCTGTATGATATCCAGTGTCTGTCTCTTTGCTAATGTTTATCAGTAATCAGTTTTCCTATTCAGAATATTCTAAGTGTTCTCATCGGTGGGGGCGTGCTTAGTGCTTTCAGTCAGTCTGAAGCAGTCGATGAATGTGGTCTGTGGTCTGTTGGGTTGTCGGCTTCCACGCCGCTGTGCAGTAAGACTAAGTTCAAGACTTCCACCACATGGACCGTGTCAGGCAGTCCGCTGAAGTTCCAAAGTCCCGTAAGACCACGACAGACATGGTGTCCACAGCAATGGTCCACAGTCTTGTGTTGTTTGGCAAACTTCTTTCTTCTCGTAGCTGTTAAGATATTCAAGTGAGGTTGATACAAAATTGCGATGGGTGATTTTTTTTAAACAAACAAAAGTTACATTCAGTGTCACTCACCACACTGTAACAAACATGGTGAATTCCTTCCACATAAAATGTAACATTTTACACATGAAGCATTTTAAATCCAGCATTGTTTACATCTACGTTCACTTGCAGTCTTCTTTGCTGGCACATTGCTGTATCGCTCGGTGTATTATCACTACCTGTCGATCAGAGGAATAGTGTGAAACCATTAGCTGAATGGGGTCTCAAATGCATGCAGGTGCAACCTTGTGCGTGTGCCTGAGACAAGCAAAATGGGGACCCGCTCATAAAGAAAATGCTTAATCCACAAATCCACAGAATACCTTTCAAAAACATATATATATGATGCAGTTTAATTAAACAGCACCACAAACTATTACTGTTAAGGTAAATCAACACCTTAAATCAGCAAAAGAGAAGAGGATTTGTTAGCAAGGTGGATCTAATAAATTGGCAAAGTGCATATTGTCACATATATTGTATCATACTGTGTATATGATGTTATATTACATTAACACCCAATCACTTAAGTAACCATGTATTGAATGCAATTAGGTGGTGTTGAACATAGTGTGCACCAGTGTGTAATAATACAACCATAGTGCCGTTCATCCATCCATCAGTGCTTTTTCACCCTGCTCCCGTTGTCTTTCTGGGCCATCAGTAAGATTACCGCACACCTTTTCAAGGCTATGTGTTTGAAGGCCTTTTGCTTTCTGTACAATCCGTGCGATGATTTATGACCATTACAGTAGCTGTGTGTGCATGTGCCAATTCAAGGCCAGTCCATGAACTTCCCCAGGCTTCTCTAGTCTTATCTGTTAGCAGGAAACAGCATTCACACATCGAAGCAACCTTACCACCTTCTATTTAGTTTCACCTTAAGACTTCTCTCTCAAGGACACTTGGGAAAGCAATATACAGATTATTACCTCCCGCTATTGTAATATTGGGTGTGGCCAAGGCCTGAGCTTGAAGGTAGTCAAATCATTGTTACCATCAGTCATGGGGTTTTGTATTATGTTGCAATAGGTTGATCTACAGGTGTCACCACATCATTCATATTCTGCTCTTAGTTACACAACACTTACTCAGTTAAATCTAGACTTATTGTAACAACCATCCTCTTTCTCTGTGTCCTCAGAGATGCTGCAGTTTGTCAGCAACCAGGTGGGGGACTTCCCGGACTTGTTTGAGGACCAGATGAACTCAGCAGGCTCTGTACAGAGTCAGAGTGGTGGGACCAGCACCACCGCACGACCTGCCATTCAAACCCCTCAAGCCCCCCAAACTCCTCAGACCCCAACCCCAGCTGTCTACCAGAGTACCAACGTTAGCCTCGCCCCCTCCCAGACACTGTCTCCCCAGTCTCTACCCCTCACCCCTCCCCTCACTCCCGCCCAGACCCCCTCCCCCACCACAGCCTCCTCAGTGCAGCAGCAGGTGACCCGTAGCCCTCCACTCCTTCAGCCCCGGCCTCAGGTGGTCCAGCCCATCCAGCCTCAGCCTCAACAGACGGCCCAGCCCACCATCCAGGTATTGGCTATCTGACGCCACGCTCACACTGAAATCCTGTGTTTGACATGGCTGATAACCCACATTTCACTACTAGTTCTACTGCGGGCAGATAGTTTTATGAACAGTTAGTATTGAAAGCTGTTTGAGGTTAAGTTTTGGATCACAGTGTGAGCTGCATAACTGCTGCAGTGATGAACTAGTGCTGTTGAGTCTGTGGTGCCGGCTACTCCAGCTGTTTTATTACTTGTTGTGGACACGATGTGGATTTATTTTCTTATATTGTGCCGTCCATACTAAAAAAGCTTTTGCTGACAGGAGAAAAATGAGTACTGACAGACTGTAAAATATAATATCCAGTTCAGCATGCCTTAAATAACAGCCATGCACGTCTCAGCTAAAACTGTAGCCTGACAGATATAGTTTATTGTCTTGAGTGAAATGCCTTTTTCCTAAAACAGTACATCAAAAAAGACAGAACCTGTCTTATGTTGCATCAAACTTTCATAATGTTTGAGGAGAAAAATAGATGCTGAGGCAAAACTATGTATTTATTTCTTTTTTTACTTAAATGCAGATGCACACCCAGGGAATCCCCATGCAGACCCAGAGCTTCCCAGTCCACACCCTGGTTCAGACCCACAGCCAGACGCCCCTGCCAATCCAGACCCAGGCAGCCCAAACTGTAATGATTACCTCCAGCGGCGGACGCTTCATCCAGAACCCCGTCATCTGCCACCAGAGCCCTGCTCCTAGTTTCCAAGGTGACTAAAGAGAGGGTTATACAGTACATTATCCTGTCTTTTAATAATCACATGTCGTTGCCACAATAATATGCTTTATTCTCAGCGTATTCTCAATTTGACTGATGAATCATCCATCATCTTTTCTTCCATTCCCAGTCCTCCAACCACAGATGCAGAGCATTATGACATCACCACAGCTCCAACCGGTGACCATTCAGCACCAGCGGGTCCTGACTCCGACCGGTCAGACCATCCAGACTCTATCTACAGCGCCCACCACAGTCCACACAATGCAACAGCAGATGCAGCAAGTACCTGTAAGTAAGCTCACTGTTGTTAGCACGAGTAATTACAATTTTTACCGTCATAAAACGAGTCAGAGTGGTATGATGATTAGCTGATAGCTGATAATAAAAGATGAATATTTTTAATAAACATAAACGACCTTACTGCAAAAAATAGCTCTTCTTTTGTTTGTAGTTGAAAAGATTAGGAGAGGCCCAGCAGATCTGAGTACTAAAGCTCTGATCTTTTAAACTGCTTGTAAAAAAACATAAAAACCACTCATTGACCTTTGGACTTCTTTCCATCAGCTTCTGGTCCAGCAGCCTCAGATTCTGAAGACAGATTCACTGGTTCTAACAACGCTCAAACCAGACGGCACACAGGTGCTGTCTACCATGCAGAGCCCTACGGGGATCACCACCCTGACCACGCCCATCCAGAGCACAGCTCTGCAAGTCCCGGTACACTGCTTGCATAAAAGATTTTGCATTACTATTTGGTTCACAATCTTAGTCCCTAAAAAAGGAAAACTAGGCAAAACTAATGTACTGCTACTGACTTCTGTCCCCAGACGTTGATGAGCAGCAACATCCTGACCACCGTCCCTGTTATGATGGGAGGAGGAGACAAGCTGCCAATCAAGCAGCTCCAGCCGGGCTCCTCCCACTGCACAAATGGCGTCAGATCAAACATGGACCACAGCCAGATGATGGGAGGTGTAGTAGGGCCGGGAGGAGTGGTGAAGGAGGGCGAGAGGAGGACGACCCACAACATCATCGAGAAGAGGTACCGGTCCTCCATCAACGACAAGATCATAGAGCTCAGAGACCTGGTCATGGGCAATGACGCAAAGGTTAGTGGTTTTAAATTGTTTGGTGTTTAAATTTGGGGAAAAGGGGACTGATTTCACTCATGAGCTTAACAGAAATTGAATCCTCACGTCTTCCTCCATGTCCTTCTTCCCAGATGCATAAGTCAGGAGTGCTGAGGAAGGCCATTGACTACATCAAATACCTGCAACAGGTCAACCACAAACTACGACAGGAGAACTTGGCCCTTAAGATGGCCAACCAGAAGAACAGTAAGTGTTGTTACATCACTGAATGTTCTGAGCAGAGCGTCATCTGAAGCAACTGGAGACTTTATTGAGTGTCTCTCTCTGTCTCAGAGCCAGTGATCCTGCCTGAAGATGTGGATCTTAAACAGGAAATAGTGATGATGTCACCTCCAGCCTCGGACTCTGGTTCTGGTTCCCCTCCCCAGTTTTCTCCTTACTGTGTGGACTCCGAGCCGGGCAGCCCTTTACTGGATCACGAGCAGGTAAACGCACAATGACAGGATTACACACATCCTGTAAGGCTGTTTTCTCTTCCACCTTGAACCGAGATTTTTTTCAAATTAAAATTTACACCATAATTATATGACCGTCATTTAATACAGTGTTGCCAAAACATTATGTACAAGGTTTATGATGCAAGTTTAATAGCTGACATGATTGTAAATTATTTTACAGACTTTTATTATTGTAAACCTGCTCTCTCCTCTCTCTTACCGTCAGATGAAGAGTGAGCCAGATTCGCCCTCCTCGGTTGGAGTGATGGATCGTTCTCGATTGCTTCTCTGCGCCCTGACTTTCTTCTGCCTGTCCCTAAACCCACTGCCATCTTTGTTGGGCTCTGAGGCCTCAGGGAGCCACAGCCTATCTGGGGGCCATGTGCCGTCTAGAACGCTGGTCTGGTTCCCAAGTCACACGCAGGACTTTGGTGAGCAGGCCTGACCCCTCTGTTTATCGGGGTTCATGACACAATTTGAGAGTTCAGAAGTCCTGATTGAATTTGTGATGTAAGTATTTACAAATGTGTAATGACCTTTACCACTTGTTTCAATTCCTCTCATCCTCCAGCATCCTGGCTGCGGTGCCTGTTGCCATGGGTAATGGTGTGGGTGCTGAGTGGGGTGGGAGCAGTGTGGGGCTGTGTCAGAGTTCTCTACCTGTGGGAGCCCATCACACCCCTTCACTCTCCAAAATCCGTATCGTTCTGGAGGCACCGCAAACAAGCCGACCTGCATCTCAAAAGGGTGAGTACAGATCTGTCCTGGGAGGAGGAGGAGGACTAACCAAGAACACGGTTCGGAGTGCTACTTTTATGTATTTTTCCTTGCACAAGGTCCTTTTTGTGTGTTAAGGAAACATCTCTACAAAGAGTGAGCTAGCATTTCCAAATATAGGAAAACATTATCACACTACTCACATTTCATGTATCTGTGTGAATATTGGTGGTGGAATTTTGGATGTGCTTGAAGAATTAGATTTGATGTTTTCTCACTCATTGAAGAACACTTCACCCAGTTTTCTTTGATTCTCACCATTTTGATGTCCCGGTTTAGGCTGCCTGTTCCCTGCCTGGGTTTATTTTTAGCATTCGTTCAAATCGCTTTCAGATCCAAGTCCTGACCTCCATCGCATGTCCCCCTCTTATCTTTCCTGTCAGTCTTCGCTGAATACTGATTAGCTTACTATTTTCCCTGTCTCCTCTCTCCTGCAGGGAGATTACACAGCAGCAATGGACAGTTTAGAGACCTGCCTGTCCGTCTTGACCAGAGCTCTTCCCTCAACCAGTCTGGACCTGGTCTGCTCTCTGTCCTGGAATGTGATTCGCTACTTCTTGCATCGTCCAACACCTCTGGGTTGGCTGGTTCACCAGGTTGGAGGGAAGCATGAGGGGGAGGAGGCTAGGACTAGTGCGAGGGACGCAGCACTGGTTTACCACCGGCTGAGCCAGCTGCAACTCACAGGTGAGTGTTGAGAACAAAGTGAGCTGATGCTGTACACAGGCAAGAAACAAACAAGAGTTACATAAGTGACTCACAACAATATCACATAACAACAGAACACTTTTGCACCTTACTTTCACTTTGACACGCTATGAAGATTTAAACACGGTGATACAGTGTTTGTTTTCTCTCTCTATATATAGGAAAGCTGCCTCAGCGCAGCAGCCTGTGGGCTTTGTCTCTGTCTCTGAGCGCTGTCAACCTCAGCGAGAGCGCCCAAGGCAAGATGGCCCCCGCCCAGCTCACCCAGATCTATGTCACTGCAGCAACAGCCCTGCGCACCATGCTGGGCCACCACCTGTCCTTTCTATCTGTGAGACTCTTACATCGTCCATCCTCTGTCTGCCGTCATCCTGTGTTTGAATATTATATACTTTTGTCTCATAAAGCATCACAAAAACACAAATACAGAGAGGAAATAATGACTTAATTCCAATGATATCTGATTTACTTTGGATGAGTTGTGATTCCACCATCAGCATCTTTTCTTCTGTGTTTTATCTCCCAGGGTTATTTGTTGAGTTGTGCAGAGAGTGTGGCCAACCAATCAGAGACCAGGCCGATCCCTGACTGCCTGCGTTGGCTCTTCACCCCGCTGGGTAGGCAATTCTTTCTGAGTTGCGATTGGTCGGTGAAGTCCGAGAGCACTGACGGGGTGTACACTTCTCAGAGGGACCCAGGTATGTCATACATACAAGAATTGGTCCGTACTCTATTTTACTCTTTGTCCTTCTTTCATTCTTTTGTTCTTCCATCCTGTCAGTCCAACAGTCAAATGCAAAAAAAAAACTCATAACATCATGCTTCTGAGGGTTAAAATCATGAAGCCTCATAGTTCTGACATAATAGAAAAATAAATTGAAAGAACATCACCCTCAATCCCACAAAAAAAGTGTGACAAAAAAAGACAAACTCCTTTTTTAAAAAAAAGTCCTAGAAATACTGCAAGATGTACTTTCTATAGAGACCTAAAGGGAAATATAGCATTTTTTAAAAAAAATATATAAATAAATAATAAATATTAATAGTGATAATAATAAAAGTATCTTGGGGTTAAAATGGAGTTGATGCATGAGGTTGACAGGCGGATCAGTACAGCGGTAGCAGTAATGCAGGCATTGTACCGGACCACTGTGGTGAAGAGGGAGACTTAAAGCAAAGCTCTCGATTTACCAGTCGATCTACTTTCCAAACCCTCATGGGTTTTGGGTAGTGACTGAAAGGAATGAGATTGTGCATACAAGCGGCCAGAATACGTTTCCTCTGTAGGATGGCTTGGCTATGTCTTAGAGTAAGGAGCTCAGATGTCCAGAGGGAGCTCGAAATAGAGCCACTGCTCCTTCATGTCTAAAGGAGCCAGTTGTGGTGGTTTGACATCTGATCATGATGCCTCCTGGGCGTTTCTCTTCTGAGGTTTTCCAGGCCCGTCCCACTAGTATGAGAACCTGGGGTAGACTTAGAACACGCTGGAGAGAATATATATTTCATCTGGCTTGAGAATGCCTCAGGATTTTCCAGGAAGAGCTGGAAACCTCAAGATCTCTATAGCATTGTGTTGAGCTTAATAGACCTCAAATTAATATTGTGCTTGTTTGGTTGTGCAGGGCAATTCAGATGCTTAAAAATGGACTAACTTGTAACTGTATATTATATAACAATATATAATAGCCATTTGCTGTATGTACAAATGGATTATTTTGTATATTGTTCGTCCTTTCCTTTATTTCTAAATGGAAATGTGTGCTCTTTACATGGCATTAGAGAAAGTCTGCTGCGTTCTATGATTTATCTGGTTCCCTCCTGGTCTTCCTTCAGCTGACCCCATTGCACAGCTGCACCGCTGTTTCTGCAGGAAGCTTTTGGAGAGAGCCGTTCACACCCTCATTCAGCCACAGAGCGACTCTGAATCAGGCAAACGCAAGAACCACTCTGGGTGAGGCAGGGCTACCAGCAATGTTTTTCACACTTTGATGAGCATTAATCAGCTATCCTGGATCTTTAACCTTTTTTTCTGGTCTGCCCCACTTCAGAGAATTTTCCAGTGCCCTGGAGTTTCTCCAGTTATTAAACAGCTGTACAGAGGACTCTCCCTCCCCTCCTCCTCCCTTTTCAACTCCTCCCAATCACACCACCACACCAGGTATGAGTAGCATGAAGAGAACAACCCTGTCCAATCACAAGAAAGCATGAATCACATTGGATGTTTGCATGGGGGAAGAGATTTAAAATCTATTTCTTCAGTGGAGATTAACCAGATAGCCATCTGAGTCGTTACTGTCAACATGAATGGATTTTCTTTGCTCTATTTGCCATATACTGACAACCAATTTAGCTTTTGGGATTAATGTTTTATTGGATTATCACAGATAACACTTTCATTGATTTGTTGTAATAAATGACTTGAAATGGATATAAACACATTGACGATCTGTTAGGGGATGTTAATTAGCTACAGTCTTAATCAATTCTTGTTTTCCCACTGAGCTATGCTGCGCACAAAGCACATTATATCATCTCACACACACACACACACACACACACAGATGGAGGAGGAGAGGAAATGCCAGACTCACCAGTGCTCGTGCGGCATTGTTGCGTTGCCGTCGGTTACTGAGCATCTCTCCCTCTCTCAAATCCAATACACCAGCACCCCCCTCTCTCTCTCTCTCTCGCTCTCTCTCTCTCTTTCATAACGCCAGGGACCATCAGGATTATAGCGCCTTAGTCGCTCACAGAGAAAGAGAGACACAGAGAGAGAGAGAGAGTGAGACAG